TAGATAGATAGATAGATAGATAGATAGATAGATAGATAGATAGATAGATAGATAGATAGATAGATAGATAGATAGATAGATAGATAGAAAGATAGATAGATTTACCACATTATTGTAATAATAAAATGAGAAAAATAAAATGTGAGAGAGCAAGGGCCTTGTATGTGTATCTATGCATTGTGCCTAATTTCCACCACACCATTGTAATTTCCACCCAAGAATGCAATGAGGTGGAAAAAACAATCTGACAGAAATTGGCGGGGAAATCTATGCTAGCATCACATACTAGCCAAGAAAGGGTCTCTAGCATTTTATGCTTAAACAATACATCTATGTGTGTTTAAATAACAATTAATATACAAACTGGGTTGATGTTACAGCATGTTTGGAAATTACATACAATAAAAATATTTTCATTTCAAGCAATATTTACCTTGGCTGTACTTCAAAAGTTGATGGATGATGGCAAAATTCCTACCATGTCAGTTTGTAGGACATATGTGGCGTGATAACTAGATCTTAATCTAGCAAAAGTCAGTCGTTCAGCAATCAAAATAATCAGAATCCAATAGATCAAGTTGTTCGGCATTCATTAAAGAGTTGGGGTAAAAAAGTCAAAAGTTTTATATTTGAAAAAAGAATCAACCTCGATTTCCTCCATCCTCTGTCGATGCCATCTTAAAAAATACTGCGAGATGTTCCTGCTACTTGAGCTGTGATGTCACTGTTCATCTCCATAGCAACTCCCCAAGCAATCTTTCATACAAACATTACAGTGTTGTGGTGGTGTGGGACAACTACAATTGGTTTAGAAAATCACATAAACAGTTGTATGACATTAAATACTCCAATTATAGTTTGATTATTTTTCTGATATTTTATTAAATTATATTTTAAAACATTAGAAAAAATGTTTGTTTTTTTTACTATTAATTTTTAACGTTGAAGATCAAAAGTCTGGGTGTGTGACAAGCGCAAAACGGTAATATTTACATATAAACGAGGCTGGAAAAAAAGGTCAAAAAGTCATCACAGACTATTAAAAAAAATGTCCTAAAACAGTTTCATTGTAAAGATAATTTTAAAGGTGTGAAATGACCCTTTTTTTTAAAAAAATTCATTAAATATGATCAAAGGACATAAAAT